CCCAAAACCCCCCCCAAACCACCAATAGACCTCCCTACCAACCACCAACAAAAAAGCCCTACCTCCCACACAACATGTTGTGCATTAATAGAAGCAAGCTGTGGACTTTGACAAAAGGAGCAGCTTGTGCTAATGTCTTGTGTTTGAGGAAAACAGCTGTGCTGTGAAGAACTGTCAGGTTTATGAAGTTAAAGGTCTTTGTCTCCACTTTCCAGGGGACATTGTATGTGAGGGGTGGGGGTGTTCTCTCTGGTATGAGAACTGTTTCACTGGGTAGTTAACTTTGCTCTGTGTATTAGATCTGTTTTCATCTGAGACTTGGCATGCTAACTTTATTTTCAGTATAGCCAATCAGGTGAGATCCTCTGCTTTTCTTTGGTATCATACAGTTCATTGTCTAAAGCTGTGCTTTTAGCTGTCTTGGCATTTGAAAACTTTTTCCAGCTCTGTCAAAAGGCTGACTCTGGCTGAGGGAATTCTTGCTGTTATTTCCTAATACAGAATTGATGGGAAAACACTGTTCCTCATGATTTTAATCTTAAGGTTAAGTGACATCTGTATGAACAACAAAGCAACTTTTGATTTTGGCAAACTTAATTTTTTTGTTTTGCATTGGGCAACTTCAGGTATGTTCTGGTATGTTCCTAAGCAATAATTCTTTGAGAGAACCTCAGTCTCATTCTTTATTCAGACAGGTAAGCTTTTATAGCTCAGTATTTTTTCCCATAATGGTGGATATTGTAGGAATAGATCTTTATGGCTTACTGTGTTGTGGGTTTATATATTCTAGTTACCGACTTTTTACATCTCCAGACAGGTGAATGCTTCACACCTATGTCAAACAGCAGAGCTGATCTACTACTTTGCTATTTTGGTATTAAGTGCAACAGATTTGGAGAATTGGTGCCCAGTATTTTGGATTGTCACGTTTGTGGCATCCCTTTTCAACTGATGTGCTGAGGCTATTTCTTTCAGTGTAGTCTAACTACTGTCCTCACGCTTTGCATAATCTTTTGTGTCTAAGTGGTATGGAAGCAATTACTTTATTACTTTTGGGAAGTTCCTGAATAACGAGTAAGGTATCTGAAGAGATGGGTTGTAACAGAAATTCATTTGACCCATGTAGGGAGACCAGCGGAACTTTCACTGTTGCTCAGGTTTGACCATTGGACTTAAATGGAAGATTTTTCATTAGTATAATTTGTCAGATGTCTGTGAGCAGAGAATTCCAATGTGAGCTTGCAATTCTGGGAAGCAAAGTGGCATTTAGGCACTTTTCTGTCAAATGAGCCCATGCAACATTTCTTGTGTTAATTTACTGCTAGTTCTATCTTTTTAAGTGGGCACCTGTCCATATCAGGAGCTTTGGCTGTGCTCCCCCAAAATACTGTGTATACACTTGTGTACTTTGGAAAGCTCAGAAAAAAGAACTGTTAGAATATAATTGCTCCTTTGAAGAAGCTAAATATTAACTGGCTGAATGTTTTACATTTTAGATAGAAAACTAATAACTATTGTGAAATGAATTTAATTTCTGCTTCTGGTTTAGTAGTTACTTTTACAATACTGTTTTACAGTCAGCAGCAGTTTAATCTCCGATTAACACACATACTGGCATCCACGGAATTATTGTAACAAAGCAAATAGTTCTGCACCCTTCATATTCATGGACTGATTACACTGTCACTAAGCAAATTTCTGTTTTAATAGATGCTGATCATTGTCTTTAGGAATGAATTAATGTTTCTTTTTTTTTAAAGACACTGAAAATTTGTAGTATACAAAAAATATTGGATAACCTATAACAATGTGATTTTGCTTTTTTTTTCCCAGGTATGAATGCTGCTGTGCGCGCAGTAGTACGCATGGGAATCTATGTAAAAGCCAAAGTGTATTTTGTTTATGAGGTTAGTTTTTGCTTTATTCATTCTGTATTTGTCTTCTGACTACACTTGAACTTTTGTGGAAACCTCATAGGAAGTGAATAGTATAAATTAAAAAATGTTGTAGATGTCATTCCCTCTCATATCAGCATTTTATTTCATATTTTTGACTTTTGTGGAAAGTACTTTTTACAAGGTATACCCTGAAACTATTTAAATTAAAAGTAATTTTTTTAGATATATGGAATTCTTCATGTGCCACCAGAAGCTTAAAAATACTGAGAAAACCAGAGATGGTTGTTACCCAGCAGTGAACTATGTATTTGTGTACTTGTTAAATGTTTGGCCCCAAGTATTGTACTTTATAAATACCTTTCTAAACCTAGTTAAACTACTAATTCTTAACCCTTTGATTTTTCCCCAGTTCATTTTCCTAGAGTATGATAAGGATGTGCTGTTGCCCTCATTTCACAGATTACACAACTTGGTTTTGATCAAGAATACTGTCAGGCTGGTACCATCTTTCCTGGCTTATAGGTAGAAAGTTGTAACTGAAATAAAATTTTAACAAAAAAGACCCCACCAAAAAAACCTGTACCATCAGTAGTGTGTCCAGACATCAGAATTTTGTGGTTGAAGCTTATGACTGCATGTGCATGAAGATTGTTAACTTCTGTAACAATTAATTTGGTATGAAAAAATGATGAGACAAGTTTAATGTAAATGCCAAAATAATACTATGCGTTATGTCTTACTAAGTTATAGTTAGACTTCTGACTGAAGGACACTTTCAGTTTTTATAAAATTTGAAGATTAAACAATACAGTAAATATATTTAGCAAGAAGTCATTCTGTTCACACTGGAATTCCTGTACAACTCCTTAGAAGTTTGAGGTGATTACAAATCACAATAAACATTTGATACAGGGCAAAACTTGGTAGGTAATATTACTAGCAAAATGTAATTTTAATGTTTAATACAAAAATACCGAGTGCTAGAAGTCATAGAAGTGCCAGGACAGTACTTTGGTTTTAGTCTTTCACATGCAAAATATACAGTTTAGCTTTAAAAGGTAGCTATTTATGCATTTTCCTTCTGTGTCTGCTTATTCCTATAGTTCATTTACTAAAGAGATGTGAAGTATATTGAAATGCAAATAAGCAGAGCACTGTGCTCCAAAATTCTTTTGTACTACAGTGCTACAGCGAGTAGCTCTGAATACTTAGTGTGCACTAATTACATGGCCAATCTCTAGAATTCCTTCAGTGTTCGGCTGTTTTGCAGCCTTGCTGAAATGGGTCAGATAACTTTGTGGAAATAAGGAGGGTTTTTGACTGTCTTTAAAGGCCAGAACTTGGATTTTTTTTTTAATTATGTTTAACTTAAGAATTTCCATCTCTATAATTCATCTTACTGTACGTTTACTTTTGTCACCTTTTAAAAACTATTTTGTATCACAGTGTATTTGGTGATAAATTTCCAGAAATTTGGATATTTCTGTTTTCTGAACTTAGCAAGATTGCACTATTTCTGTTATCATGTTCCTCTGTTAATTGCTAGAGTTTGCCAATGTGAAGTCACAGATATTTCCAAATGAAAATCGATTGTAAAAATCAAGTCAACGTTGGACTTTTGAGTTTCCATTATATATTGTCATTCTGTCTTGATTGTAACAGTGTAATTGGGAGAAAAATGCACATTTCACTGTAAGTGTGGGTAATAGCTCTGAAAGAGATCTTTGCTTCTAGATTAGTTCATTCAGTTCTATGTTTCAGGAAGTACTGAATGCTAAACTTGTTTCCTCTCTGACCCTGTGTTAATTAAACTATGAAGTCAGTTTTCTTTCACAATGTGTATAAGTACTTCAGAGAAACAGTGTTTCAAGCTTTTGAAATGAAACAGCTATTTAATTTCAGCACTTTGAAATAGATAATAAGTGCAGGTGACAAGTGTCATGGAAAGTAAAAATCTTAGGGTAAGACTTGTCACTAATGATCCCTATTATAAGCCTTTGCATGATGTATACAGAGAAGTATTTTTGTATATACTTGAAGTTATTTTATTTAATACTTTTAAGAAGGCCCTTCTAAATTACAGTTTATCAAATGCAGACTTAAGTGTGTTAAGCAATGAGAATAGTATATTTTTAGCCTACATTTTTAGTAGGCATTTTAACTAGACACATACATGTCAAGGTAAAGTGATACTTGTATTGAAGCTGCTCTGAAAAACTGAAGAAAAAACCTGAAGTGGCAACATCCAAAAGGTGAAAAATGTTTTCTTATTTGGAGCAAAAAATGGAGTTAAAGGTCTCAGCCTTTTCAAACTTACTTTGCTCTAGTTTTCATACACTCTTTTGCTCCTGTACCTTTCTCTATCATATGAACTTTTTTTGCACTGTAAAACCATCAGTCTTCTACATTTGTGGCCAAAACTAGCTCCGTATTCTAAGTAAAACAATAACTCTATTTTCCTTTCATTTCTGAACTCATTTTGCTTCATCTTGTGATAAGAGAGAGATTACCAAGATAAATAAAAATTGCAATGAACTAGATATAAGTAATTTTCTAGCCTTTCTTAAGTTGGGTTTACCAAAGCCCAAAGAAAGAAACAGATGTTGGAATTCATGGGCTATTTGGACATACTTTGATTCCCAAAAGGAAAAAAAACCAAACTCATGTGAAAATTAAAACTATAAAATATTTTGTATAAACACTATAATTTATTATATTTATATATGGTTTATATGAAAAACTAATTTTATAGCTGTGAAATTTTTTTAAAAATTGTATCTTAATTTGTTGAAATTAGCACATTTGAAAAGTTTGCTACTAATTTGTGGAAACAGTGCTTACTCTATACAGTTGCCCTAGTTTCATATTTTGTTCATGTTAACAGCTTTTAGTATTTAATTTTAGTATATAAACAGTCTGTAGTCATCCTCACCAACTAGCATCACATTACTCCTCAAATCCGCCCCTATCTGAATTAAAATTTGAATACCCATGGACTTATTTCACTCATGCTGTGAAAATCTAGGAGATGGAAGTACATCTAAAAGTACCAGGCTGCTCTAGGAGGCTAGCTTCAATTTTTTCACTAATCAAAAAGGATTTAAGTTGGTGGGGTTTTTTTGTTTGGTTGTTCTTTGGGTTTTTTTTCTGTAAAGTGAGAATGAGAAGAAAAAGTGATGCCTCTCAATTATGGCAATTCATTTTAGAAACTGAGGTCTTAAATATAATATAATACAAATAACCTGCCCTTTTTCCAGGATTGAAGCACATAGTTCCTAGTGGATGCATGCTTTTACTACTAAGCTATGGAACTTTTAGATTCTTCATCTTGATTAAGAATCTTTTTCTCAAGAGGCTGGCATTGGAAATGCAATGGTACGGCAGTCATGGATTTCTGTGAGGAAAACTTCGTGTCTTTTATGTGGTGGTTTGTGCACTCAGTGATACTAGTATTTTATGTTGTTGAGCAATAGCTAAAAAAGCTCAGTAAGTAAACTTAAATAAAGCCCCAAATATCTCACTTGTAGCGTATCAGAAGATGGCTTGTTCTTTTTCAAAAGCTTTTGTTTGTAAAGTTAAGACCGGAAGCAAGATTTGCTGTCTCTGCCACTCTCTTCAGGAGTTACAGTGTATATGTATGTACCCTGTGAACATATGACCAACACAGTTTTCCTCTTGTTCGTCTTTGAATATTCAGATTTTGCATAGAGGAAGGAATAAGCATAAGATGGGGTTGATCTTCAAGTATAGTGCTTGCTGTATTTTGACAGTTTGCTTTTTTTGCTTTTTTCCGTTCTTGCCCCTTCATTTTAGTATCTTAGTACACAAGCTGTTATTTTTAGAATCTAAGTAAGATTTTTTAAAAAAATATAAATTGACAGGCCCCCTCTTTTTATTAAGGTCTGCATTCACATCTGCCAGTAATTTTCAGTAAATAGGCAATTTTTGTCCATGAGTCTCATGATATGTACATAATTATGTATATATTTATTGTTTATAATACTTCCTTGGATCCACTTTCTTCATTTTGCCTCTCAAGTAAAAATGGAAGGTGAATGATTGCAGCAAATATGTGAACTGTATACATCTTTGTCAGCTTGTAGTACAGCTTACTATAGTCAGTGTTACAAACTGAATTAGGATGCAATATCACACTATTCTTTTAGGATTTGTTGCCTATGTATCTTTGTGTTAGTGTAGTTGCCAATAGGAACACTGATAGGAAATGCTTTCAATCCATTACCGAGTGATAAAAGGAACATGGGATTCTTTGCTTTCAAAACAAAAAACAAGCAAACTTGTGGTAAGTGAACTTACTAATTTATTAGCCTTCATCAAGCTCACTTGGATCCACTGGAATGTTTCTGTCTGAAGATCTTTGCACTTTATCTGAGAGATTTTTTTTTTTAAGTTGATATGTAGATTAGGCATTATCTCTTTTCCCACTTGCTCTAATTTTGAAGGAATTGTGCAAATAATGTCTTAGCTTCAAGTCATTATGTGTATACATTAGTATACAAGACAGTATGTGTATGCATTAGATACATATCAAAGTTATCTGGAGAGTGTACAAAATACTGAAAAGATCTGTTTAATGACAGAAATTAGAGACATGGGTTGTTTTCCAGCTAGCTGTTTCTTTACTATGACTTGATCATCCTATATGTAAATTCATTAGTCAAATCTCACTGAGCAGAAACTTTTACGCTTTCCTGTTGGAATCTGTACTAGAATCCTAGAAAGCTTAGTTTGAGTAACTTGTACTTCTGCTGAGTCCAGGTTACCTTATATACTTATCCTGTCATGCTAGTGAGGGACTCCAAGTATGATATAGTATTCATATAATACATATGGCTTTTTAAGCCAGTGTAAGCTTTGTATGTTTCCAAGTTACTGCTTACTGGATAAAATCTACATATACTCTGGTCATGCCAAAGTAAGTGTCACCAGTCCATAATGTCAGTTTAGCTGTCTTCTGAACTCCCTTTTGTTTCTAGTTCCACCTGATTTATTACTGAGAATCCTAAAACTAAATATGTACAGTCTTGCAAGAACTGCATACAGAAGAGAGGTTGACTAATTGTTCCTCAGTATGATTATACATATGTACACATAATCTAAAAATGGAGACATAAACATGGTCATGTTTATTTTTGTTTGGTGTTTTTTTGTTTGTTTTCTTTAACCTAGAATGCTTTTTTCTCTTTGGATTTAAATGAATGTCAAAAAGTTGAATGGTAACTCCAGTTTTATTCTGGTGTCTGTATCAGTTAGGTTTTTCCAGGTTAGGACTTTTTTTTTCTTTTTTTGGTTTGTTTTTTTTCTTTTTAAATCAGTGTTCACAATATCAACTAATGGAAAAGAATTTGTAATTGTCACTATCTTTCTGCTAGTATTTATGCAGAGACTTAATAAAGCCAGGCATAACAAAACCCTTCAGCTGCTCACTGGATAGTTTTCCTTCTTTCAATTAAGTGTAGTTCTTTCTATATTACAGCATGCATTGGTTTCTGAAGAGCATTTGAGTTAAGGTATTAAGGATTTCTTAAATGCATCACTAAAAGTTGTATTTTTCTACTAAATTTCTTTCATCTATTTATTGTGTAACTGCCTCCAGAAAAGAATAAATAAATATTACCTACCTTGGTGTGGGAGGGGGGAAGTATACAAAGTGTTACAAAATTAGACATTTTTCAAAGATCATGACCTCAGGCTGAGGTTATTTTTTAGGAAGCACATTTCATAATGCTTTTCAAAGTTCTTCTTTGTAGTTTTTAAAAAATAACTGAATATTTATTCCTAAGAAAGGAGAAATATGTTGCCGTTCTGGTTTATAAGCTGTGTAATCTGTGAAGTGTTACTTCATCTTGAAGTTGTCTTTGGAACTGATCTTTTAGGAAGAGGGTTTGTTTGGGTGTTTTCCCCCTAATGTGATAGCTGCTTGAACGTTGTTTCATTTAAATTGAGTATTTTCTTTATTCAGTGGTTTTAGTTACTTAAAGTTGCATTAAAATACACAAGGTGAGTATTACTGCAGTGGAAATGTTACACAGCTTTTCAAATCAGACTTCTGAAATACTTTTCTCTTTCAGGGTTACCAGGGAATGGTTGATGGAGGTGATAATATTGTAGAAGTTTCATGGGAAAGTGTTTCAAGTATCCTGCAAGTGGTAAGTGTTAGGGGGTGGGACCCAAACCCTCTCTCTTTAAACAGGGAACCAAAATTCTAGATCCAGGCAATTACTGTAATTAATGGATTCAAATTCTGTGATGACTGAGTGACCAGCACATACCACTTTTAGCAGAGCCTGATTTCTACAGTATGGATGTTTGATACTTTTTAAAGATCTTTGTGTGGTCTTGTATGTGGTACACAGAAATAACCTTGAAAACCTTTGTCCTAGATTTTCAACATTACGTGCCATTAGCCTCCTAAAGCCGTAGTGACAAGCCTATGTTTACCAAAAAAGACATTATAGGGGCAAAATATGAAACAACTGTGTTTTGTAAGGCAGGTGTTTTCTTACAAAACCCTATTGGCTTTCAGTGTAAGTCGATTTAGAATTATAGTAATGGGTGTATTTACAATACAGTTCTCCAGAGCTAGATAATACCAGTGACTTTGCCTGTACATTTATATTACAACGTTCTGCAAGGTGGCCATTTGGATCTCCTTACGCTTTTCCTCAGCATGGTAATGTTGTTACCTCTTCTAGAGCAGATGCTATGTTTGGCAAAGAGGCCTTACTGCTTGCCAGGCTTTCTGAAAACTACCTCCAGGTGAAGCGTGGATTTCTGTGGAGCTTTCTTTAAAGCTACTATAATAACCATAAAGCAGTTAACAGAGAAAAAAAATAGGTTTCTTAATTTTTTTTTTAAACAAACAAATGCCCTGGAATACTGTGAGATATTTTATCCACATATATTTGATTTTTAGGTTGATTTTTTTTTTAATTCCCTATCTTGTAGAATCTGTAATCTTATAATTAAGAGAAAATTGAGATGTCATGGGCAAGCCACACAGGAGCATAGGCAGGAGCAGGATGTAGGCATCCTATACATGTATATAATATATATGCTATAAGAATAACACCTTTCTGAGCCTGATTGCAAGGAATTCAACAAACCAACAGTGAAGCTGAGGATGCGTCTTAAAGAATGTGTTTAGTTATTCTAATAAAAGATTTTTCCGCCCAACCTATATTTCTGTTTAATCAAACAGGTTGTAGTACATTGTTTCAAATACACAGTCTCTTTTCCACCTCCAACTACGTTTTTTTAAGTATCAAAATATCTAGTTTAGATTTTTTTTTTTTTTTAGTCCTGATTGTTATTTTTAGAACATCTCCATGTGTACCCTTCTACTTTTTTGCCTGTGGAGAAAGCTGAACTGCTTCTATTCCACATTTTTTTTTTCTCCTTCCATTAGCAGCAGTTGTGTATTGCAGTGTAGATGGTAAAATAGTGCCTAGGACTGGCTTGAGAGCTGAAACACCTGTTGATAGGGAAAATCATATCAGTACAGCCTCTACAGATTTGATCTCAAATTTAGATTGGCATGACTGATCTATTATAAGTTAAAGTGAAGGAAATGCTTGTGCAAAAGTGAGGTAATCATCTCCAGATTGTTTGCAGTCTCAATTAATTTTATTTTTCACTGTGACAATAAATAAGGCAAAAATTAGACTGTTCTTGAGTGACTGAACATCATAAACACAGAAGATTTGTAAATAACTTGTTTCCAGCAAGATGCCCAGCAATTTTCAGTGTCAGGGTGCTTCAGTCTTTTTTGAAAATAATGACTCCCATTTTTGCAGGAAGCTCTTTAAATCATATTAATAAATACAGCAGATAAATTAATAAAACAGAAAATTTAACATTAGTGTGATCTATACAGTACTAAATGTGGATGCAGTTCTTTCTGTAATTCTGTGGAATGACAATAAATGCTAATTTTGAGCTTTAGGGATACATCTTTTCTGTTATTGTTTATATATTAGGGGAAAAATGTCACGCTTGGAGGCAAATTAATCTAAATTCTTAACTACTTAGTATTGTGTCACTTTTACTATTGTCATTACATGTAAGTAATAATTAGATAACTAATTGGAATGCTACTGAAATTAATCCCAAACGATTTCACATTTTCCTTCAAGAGTAGCTCTTCTTCAGTCGTTTTTGAGTGTTTTTTTCCCCTCGTGTGTGTATCTGCTCTTGAGAACGTAATTTCCTGCAGGTTTGATAATTCTTTGATTTTCATGACCTTTTACTCACTGTAAAATTAAAAATGGAGGTTATGCTACAAAATAACCATTCAACATTAATACATCTTAAAAAATACAGTAAAATACTGGATTATAAATTAAAACTGTTATACTTCCTCTTTCTAGGGAGGTACAGTTATTGGTAGTGCACGCTGCAAATCCTTTCGTACGCGGGAGGGCCGCTTGCAGGCAGCCTACAACTTGGTTCAGAGAGGAATCACCAATCTTTGTGTGATTGGTGGAGACGGTAGCTTAACTGGTGCCAATCTGTTCCGTGAAGAATGGAGTGGGCTTCTAGAAGAACTGGCACAGAAAGGTAAGCTTGCGTTTAGACTGTCTAGACTTCAGGGAAGTTATGTACCCTTAACTATACATACACAAATCCAGAGGATATTTCTTAAGTTCAAAAATTAAATGCATACATTCTAGGAAATAACATGGTTCTTCATAAAGCAATAGTTTTTGATTTCCATATATCCTTTCTTATATACTAATGAAGGTTCATAAAGGCCAAATAAGTTACTGGGCAACTGTCTGTGTGGCTTTTTTTCCCCATATGAATAATTTTCAGGGTCTGAATTTTAAACTTGCTGCTTGAAAAGCCCTTTGCCTTCAAATCCAAACTGAGATGGTAATTCCTTTCCTACAACAAGCTACACACTTGGTTGTTACTAAATTATGATGCTTTCCTCTTATATGTCACTATTTGTTTAAGATCCAAACATTAAGTGCCTGTTGCTAAAAGTGCATCCAGCCCAGTAGCTGCTTTGATACCATCCAAGAGAATGTATAGGGAAGAGTAAAAGAACATAACAAGCCTAAACAATGCTGTGTGGATGCTCTATGTTATTCATAATATATAAATATTCTGATAGGTTCCATCCATTTCTGTCTTCAGAACTTCCTGAACCAGATGCTGTTAGCAGTCCTTAATGAATTTCTCTTCCATGATGGTATACAGTCTCCTTGAAAGCATGCAGATTTTTGCTGAAAACATTGTGTAGCAAGGAGTTATACAGCTTTGCTGAATGATGGATTGTGAAGAATCTGCTCCTTCTGTATATTTTGATCCTGCTGGCTTCCAGTTTCATTTGATGTCCTGTAATTTTTATGTTAAATGAACAGTGAATGATCAGTTCTGCTTCCTCTCTGCATGCCATTCAAGATTTTACAGCTGTCTTATTTTCCCTTCATCATCCCTTTTTCTAGATGGAAGAGTCCTAGTTTGCTTAGTTGTTCCTTATATGTAAGTTCTATACCTTTGATCATCTTTGTTGCCCTTCTCTGAACCTTTTCCAGTTCTACCATGTCCTTTTTGAGGTGGGGAGGACCACAACTGCACCCAGTATTCAAGATGAGGGCAAACCATGGATCTACACAGTAGTATAATGAACTTTGTTTTGTTCTCTATTCTTTTCCTAATATTTTCTAATATTTTGACTTTTTTTTTGACTGCTATTGAGCATTGCAGCTGATTTATTAATGAAAACAGCACTATTATATTATTATGCTGAAAATAGCACTATTTTGTTTGTGATGTTAGGGTGTATTTTTCATGTGTATCAGTTTACATTTATCTACAATGAATTCCATCTGATACTTTACTGCTCACTGTGTCTTGCTAGTCGTCTTCATTTCTTCTCAGACACTTCATGCCTTTAGAACCCAAATAATTCAGTTTGATCGGTAAACTTTGGCACCTTACTGCTCATTCCCTTTTCTAGGTTATTGCTGAGTATGTTGAACAGCGCAGATCCCTGTACAACTCCATTGGTTACCTTCCTCAGATACAAGAACTTGCATTTACTACTGCCCTCTGTTTCATATTTTTTTACCCTCTGTTTCACATTATTTATTCTATGTAAAAGCCTTCTCTCTTATGCTGTGGCTGCTTAGTTTCCTCAAAATCCTTTAAGGACAGACCTTGTCAATGGCTTTTTGGAAATCTAAGTAAAATGTGTCAACCAGATATCCCTTATTCATGTGATTATTAAGTCACCTTTGGAACTCTAGAAAGGTTTGTAATGCATGGTATACATTCATAGAAGACATTTTGATTCTTCTTCAGAATGCTGTATTTATCTTTATGGACATTAGTTACAGTTTTCATTATGGTTTCTACTATTTAGTATAGACATTAAACACATTGATCGAGAGTTCTTGAATCTCATATTAGAATTTGGCATTATATTTACTACCATCGCATCCACAGATACTAAGGTAGTTTTAAGTACTTAAGGGCTAAGGTATTTCATCCTTGAGATCCTTTAGAACTCTTGGATGATTCAGCATTTTCACTGATGTCTTGGGAGACACAGACTAAGACTTAGAATAGGAGCTTTTCTATTCTATTTGCTTATTAATCATGAAATCAGAGCCTTTCAGTGTTGCAGAAGAGAAGTCTTCAAAAGTTTAATGCTGGTTTTTAATTGTTTACATATGCCCATAATCACATCCAGTTTGCATCCTTTTACTACTTTGTTGCACATCATACACTGAGACTACAATTTGAATGCTATTGTTTAAGTCCAAACCATCAATTTTAAGGTTCGTTACAAAACTTGATAATTTGTTGACACTGAAATGGACTGAAAAGCTCTTGTTTCCTTCTTGACTGTAAGGAGTTCTATGCAGGATTCTTTTGTTTGGTTGTTTGATTGGCTTTTGTTTGTTGTTTTGACTAACCTTGTTACCTAAAATATCTAAATGTAATTTAACTTTTGGATATGTTTAATTTACAAAAGTAGAGTACCCAAGCAATATTTCTAAAATATTTAAAAAACATAAATCTTGCAACTCTCTATCTGGATACTTCTTTACAGGAAAGATTGATGAAGAGGCTGTTAAGAAATATGCTTACCTTAACATTGTGGGAATGGTTGGATCCATAGACAATGACTTTTGTGGCACTGATATGACCATAGGTACTGACTCAGCCTTGCACAGAATCATTGAAGTTGTGGATGCCATCATGACCACTGCTCAGAGGTAAATTGTGCATATTATAGAAAACTATAACAAATACTCAGTTGTTTATGCTTCAAATCTGAAGTTTCTTATTGCCATACAATGGCAGAGGATATAAGTTAATTTTAAATAGAAGTTAGGTAACTAGTATTCGTAATATTTTTAGAGTGGGACTGAAAGCTCTTTTTGGCTGCATCTTTCAAGTGTCTCAGTTTTCTTTTGTTTTTTAGTAACTGCTTTTCCATCATTCCTGTCATGGCAGCACTTCAAGCATTTGATTGTAGAGGAGCATCATCTGTAGGGGCAGGCAGGCTTTGGGTTTTTTAATATGTTTTTAGTCTTTCCCAGACATACTTTTCTAGAGTAAATCCAGACACGCTTTCAATAGTACAAAATAGCATCTGTTTGTATATAAGCTTTTCTAGGTAAAATTTAAGCAATTAAATTATTTCTTTTTTTTTTAAAATACAGCTATATCATTACAGTTCTTAACTATGGGTCTGCATCATTTACATTTCTAGTAAATGTTCACCTAACTTCTCTCCTAACTGCCCTTAGATGTTTTAGAAAAAGTAGTAGTGAAAATGAATTATGTGTTGGAAGATACGTAATTTTAGATATGTAGTTTTAAATACATTGTTTAATACTACCTTCTATTTTGCCGTGGTAAACACAGGCTATTTCCTGATAGTGGGTTCTGATTTCAAGAATTTGGACTTGATTTTTGAGTTGCAGTATTAAAGTTAATTTGTTTTCTTATTTTTACAGCCATCAGAGGACATTTGTTCTGGAGGTTATGGGGAGACACTGTGGGTATGTATTGTCTTCAGCAGTTTGTGTCTTATACAGATATAATCATGAAAGATCAAGAAATCTGAACCATAAATGTCTAATCATTTGTTATGTTTATTAGGTACCTAGCCCTTGTTAGTGCCTTAGCCTGTGGTGCAGATTGGGTATTTATTCCTGAATACCCACCAGAAGAAGGATGGGAAGATTCAATGTGTGTTAAGCTTTCAGAGGTAATCTATTACTATGTTTGGGTTTTCCTGATGTCTTTGCAGATGTTTATTTGAAAACAGTGATTTAAACATGTGATCAGGACTTTCAGCAAGTCTTTGCTTCTGGTGTCACAGATAGTGCTCTCTGGTCTTAAACAGTTCTTTTCCTGCATTCTGTGATTGTTTTGAAGAATTATATGACCCCTCTAAGGATTACATAAAACTATTCCTATCTAAGCAGTGTGTGTACCCTTCCTCATTAATTTGATATAAGACATTTCACTTCATCAATGAAAAGACCTGTATGAAGATAAAATGTGTGAGAACTCTGAAGTGATCAAGTATAAGAAATATTTCCTCAAATCCTAGCAGCTTAATGTGTAACAATTGATTATAAAATTGTGCTGTAAATTTCTTTCAGTTTTTTTATTATATGGATGTGCTTTTCTTTTTATTACAGAATCGTGCACGAAAGAAAAGGCTGAACATTATTATTGTAGCTGAAGGAGCTATTGATTGCCACAACAAACCTATAACATCAGAGAAGGTTAAAGATGTAAGTGTCAACATCCTTATGATGTGCTTTCTGTTTTGTTCTTAAGATGGGGCTTGTTACTAACACTAACATTGCTTTACAGGAACAGAGTTACTTTACAGAAGCTTATCGCACAGCTTGCTGGTTGTATTTTATGTTTGATTTATTATCTGAATCCATAGTCCATGTAAGGGGGAATTATTTCAGTGGCTGTTAATTAGAACCTTTTCTCCTTGTAAAACAAGGCAACAGTCCAAAACACCTAATTCATGGGTAGAGAGTCTTAAATCAGCTCAAATCCGTAATTATAATCTTACTTTACTTTCTATTTCTTGTAAAATTTTAATAATGGTCTATCTCACAGTGAAATAATACTGTCTCCTTTGGACAAAGTCTTGTCACTTTTTTCCTAAATGGGTGCTTTGCCAACAATTTCATTGGTGTCTAAGAAAAACTTTTGAGCTGCAATTATTCTGCTTTTCTTGGAAAGGGTCCCTTAAGAAAAGCACTTGAAAAAGTCATTGGCAGGAAGGAGCTGTGACACTTTGACTTTAGCTGGGGATTATCTGTGACTATGAAGTTTTGTTTTCCATAGCTGTCAGTTTGAGAGTAATCTTTGACTCTGAATTCAGAATTGCAGTTTTACAAAGTAAAATTTAGCACAAAGTGGTGTTAAGTGTACATACAGCAGATATGTATTATGTGTTTAGGGAAGAAACACTACTTGCTTGCTACAAATTTTAGCCAGTTAAAACATTCAAAAACTATAAATACCAGGGATAGAAGATCTTGTAAATAACTTCTAAAATTTTTTTTCTGCTTTATGTTATCCATTACTTACTCCTAACCTTACATGCTCACTGAAGATGTGTTAGTAAAAGATGTCTTTCTGTGACTTCAGTTTTGATACGTAGCAGAGGAAATGGAAAGAAAGTCTGACTGAATGAAATAGTTTTATTATTACAATTTTTACTGCAAGTTTTAAAAGCCTTGTCAAGTAAGGTTAAAAGTCATCTTCACTAAAGTTTTGCTCAGCGTCTTTTGGGATATGTAGATGTTACACGTAGATGAAACACAGAGTGAATAAAACACTAACTGAACTTTGTTCAGGTATTCTAATTATAATGTTTAGACCTGTTTTTATAAGGCTGACTTTGCATAATGAAGCCATTATAACTGTAGTTAAAGCACTGTAATCTAAGCCACTGTTTTGCCATTAATAACTAAAATGTTGCTTTAGATTAGGAACTTGGAGTTTAGTTCTAGGTTAGGAATAAACTAAAGACTGGCTTAACTTTTGTAGTGTTTTCATTACTGTTGACATACTAATATATAGTATATGTAGAATTTTATTATTACAATAGCATGTAAAGCAGAGTAATGCTAACACATGCATATATAAACTAATGATGATAATAAAACCACTATATTTTGATATTTTTTGCAGCTTGTGGTTCAGCGGCTTGGGTTTGACACCCGAGTAACTATCTTGGGTCATGTGCAAAGAGGTGGAACCCCTTCAGCTTTTGACAGGATTTTGGTGAGTGAACCTAAAATAACAGCTCATGGCACCACATGGTACAACTACACTTTGATTATTTATTTGGGGGTGGGGTAGTTCTTTACCCGATTAACTTGACAAATCCAATTATTATATCACATTAACTGTCTGAATAGCTCAAATTCAGAATAGTGGAGCACTTTGTGTAAAGGATTAAAAAGCAAAGCTACAAAACAATCGTCCATACTTGAATATTAAACAGCCTGCAACATTGTCACCTACCAAGGGATAATCGGTTTCAGCTTGATTTACAGAGAAATTGTCTCCATTTCTGTAATTGAAAGCCTTGTGCTTTTAAGTGCTTGCTTGAACATTCAAACATTATTTATTTTCAGGCAAGTCGTATGGGTGTGGAAGCTGTGCTTGCCCTTTTGGAAGCTACTCCAGCTACCCCTGCCTGTGTGGTGTCCCTGTCTGGAAACCAGGCTGTCCGTCTGCCTTTGATGGAGTGTGTGCAGATGGTGAGTTTCTGGCAAAATGCCAATTTATAGTTACTCATTAACTACAAAAGACCACTGTGTATAATAATTGTCTGTTGTCATTAAAACACTGATGGGAATGTGTGCAGCAATTTCCCACATTTGGGAATAATGAACTTCATGTGTGTTCTCTATGTGTTATTACTTCTTTGCGAACTACCAACAAACATATATTTTTAATTTGTTTTAAAATCCATTTCAGATCTTCTCTTTTTATTGCTACAACAAATTCTTCAGATGCTTACATCCATTTACACGTCATGCACAACAGTCAGGTTTCTGCCCTGAAACTGTTCAGCTTAAATTGAAAAAAAGAAAACACAAAATAGATGCATTGGTTCCCCCTGCTCCCTGGAAGTCTTTAGGTGTCTGCTTCTACCTTGTTCTTCTCCTGCCCATTGTAATTTATGCTATGATAAGAGATAGCCCATAAATTAATGAAATGTCAATATTTCTTTTTTTCACTTTGGAAAGCTATTTCAGAATGATCTATTTACTGGAATATATTAAATAATCAACTTCCTATGTTTTTTAAACATATTGAGTAATCAACTTGTTTTTTCAAGACTCAAGAAGTCCAGAAAGCCATGGATGAGGGAAGATTTGTTGAGGCTGTGAGGCTTCGTGGAAGGTATGGCTGATAACTTGTATCAGTTTGTTTGCTCTAGAAAAGTTGAATTGCTTTGCTGTTCTGCTGGCACTTGACACTTTAGTTTAAATGCTTTAATATCCATATGGTTTTATGTATTTGAGAATAGTAGAGGAGACAGAAGAGTTGCTTAAATAAAATAATTGAAATTCTTATCTATGTAAAAACATGCAAAACAAAACTGTAGTTCAGTACTGTCAGGCTAGTGACTGATACTGGGGTAACTAGTCACAAAGAAAAGAGCTGCTGTGTTGTATGAACTGACTGGTAGCAACCATATGTTTGTTTATTCAAGATTTTGAGGCCAGTGCTGTGACCTTGTTTGCAAGTAGCTGGTTGTTTTCCAACAGTAATGTTGGAGGGAGACATTCTGCACTCTTACGTGTCAACAGAGCATTTTCTGTTTCAATTTATTTGATAATAAAATACTTTATCACCAATCCAGAAAACTCACTTGCCAGCTATATAGTTATTTTATATTTTCTTACTATTATCTTACAGGATTGAATATTTTCCACTGTTCTATCATTTCCAGTTTTTATTGTGTTTTGGATTTGTAATAACTTCGGTCCAAATGCTACATACCTGTTTTTAAAAGGTTCTGAAAAATTCAAGTGTTTCTTTAATATAACTATGAGTTGAAAAATTTACTATTGTATTTGTCTTATTTACTTATTTATTTAGGAGCTTTGAAAACAACCTTAACACCTACAAATTACTGTCGCACAAAAAACCAGATGCTGAGCTTCCAAAGGTGAGGGGTTTTTTGAGTGTGCAATGCATGTCTGCTTTTGGGGTATCTTAAGAAATAGTGTTGTTTTTCTCTCCCCCTCATTCTGCCTCAATACTCTCTTCAAACCTGTGCCATAGGTTTTATAAAATTTTATAAAATTAGTTAAATATTATAATGGCAGAAAGATACTTGCAACACACAACTTTAATAATAACTAAGATTTTTTTAAAGTGAAATACCATTCTAACTAGACGATTTCCTGCTAGGCAGTTTCTGTCTTGGACATATGTCTGGTCCCAATTGCTATAGTGTCCGGTCCTAATAGTTACTGTTATGTGCTCTGTTCCTTAACATGGAGAGGAAGAAAGGTGATGCAATCATGATTAAGAGTCTAAAAATCTTGGGATAAAGAAGGAAGATTCAGTATAAAAGAATTCTAGCCCTTCCTTTTTAAGGGGCAAAACCACTCAAGAACAGGGGTAAGTCCAGGAATTCATGAGATGGAATAGTGAAGACAGATGCATCATGTTTACTTGGTCTATTGAGTCACTGTAACAAGACAGAAGTTTTTAATAGTATTTTGTAGCTCAGTCGTGTGATTTTGGCCACTTGTGGTGTTCAGTCTGTGATGCTTACATCCATTTAGATGTAGTTGTTTTATCTTGAGTGCAACTGCTAAGAAAGCAATATAAATGGGGACTAAATGCATAGGTATGGAATACACATGATATACCAAAATATTTATTATTTCATGTTATGTTTTAAATAGAACCTTCTCTCTTACATTGCCTGTGGTTTATATTACAAATTTATATTTGATATCTCAGACTTTTCTATCTGAGTAGATTAGCCACTTACCTGGGATACTCATTAAACTTGGGGAGACACTGTATATAAGCACAGTTACTTTGAGTTGTTAGGAAATGCTTTAAAAACTGCTGTAATCTGAAAATATATGGTATTGTGAAAGATGCTGAGTGCTCCTGTTTACTACTATATTGTCAGCTGCTCTAAAAACCTGGCTGATACTTTAAGTTAAAAGTTGTCATCTGTTCCGCTTTGCATGGTACTGATGATATACATCTAACTGCTATGGTGCTAGAATAATTTCCTATTCTTTTCTTGGCTATTCTGGGTGGTTTTGTAAGAAACTACTACTTTAATTACATGAAACTGGTTGAATGATGCAGGGTATTTTACATTTCTTGAACCTAGCTGAGCTAGAATATAAAAACCTGAATAACTTAACCTGCAAACCAAATGAAAATGTGATAAAGTCTTATTTGAAAACATTCTTTTTTTAAAGTGTTTGTTTCTATGTGATATTCTGCAAATGGGGAAGTATGTGTATGTATCTTCTAGTTAACTTTAAATTTTGGATGGTTTTAGGGGCTTTGAAATTTCCTTCCCTACATTCCAATATTTAGCGACTGTGTATGATGGACAAATTAACCATGGTGTAGAAATTAAAGTGCTTATTAAATACTATTTTTCTCTTGCAGACTAATTTTAATGTGGCAGTTTTAAACGTTGGTGCCCCTGCAGCTGGAATGAATGCTGCAGTGAGGGCTGCAGTGAGAGTTGGCATAACTGAAGGCCATAAAATGTTTGCTGTTATTGATGGATTTGAAGGTTTTGCTAGAGGGAAGGTCAGTATTACACGTCTGGATTACATAGTAGTATGTACCCCATCCCACACCATCACCTTTATGTTCTTAGAAAGTGTGTCCTGTCATAACTGTTGTGGGAACTGATTCTTAAGTTCTTTTACTTCATAAGGATATATAAAACCCAAATTGTAACTGTATTTCTCAACTATTCAAGTCGATAGATTAATCTATGTTAAGTATTGCTAATCACATGCTGCAGAGCTACAAAATTAATTCAGATTAATCCTACCTTCAAATTTTGGTCAATGTTTAGCATATGGTAAGTTTTCCACAGAATAACAGAAGAATCGCTGATTCTGTGCGATGAGTTGTTGCATTGTGCTCCTTTGCTGTAAGGAACTTTGCAGTGGTGCTTCTTGAGGGAAGAAGCTTCCCCTCCCCCCACCCTTGTGAGTTAGATTCTTGTGTTCCCTTGTCTTAAATGTTAAGCATCAGTTGGTATACTGAGGAGAAACTGGATACAATACTTGATTTTTATGCCTACCTGGAGCCATAGGTCCCAAAACTAACTTCAAAGACCTAGTTTTATAGATTTTTGTGTTTCGCATTCAGTAGGAGAGGATATGAAAACAGGATCATGATATGAAACAAGGAGGCAGGGTTCATCACGATCTGGAGGAAGAAAGAACAAATAGATAGAATGGAAAGGGATTGGCAAGAATTCAAGAGAAATTAAGTTAACCTCTTGATTCCATTTTCGTTCTTTGCCAAGTTCATTTTTGGTGCTGTCTGTGCCCACCAACTTGTTCCAACAGCTTTACATTAATTAGTATGTGATGTTTGCTGTATGTCAGGAGAAGTAATTGGATAATTGCTTAACAGACTCTCCTTTTTCACTTTTATTCAAAGATAAAGGAAATCAGCTGGGGGGATGTTGGAGGCTGGACTGGTCAAGGAGGATCAATTCTTGGTACAAAACGGTAACGTCAATATTTTGCCAGTTCATGTGATGAATTCTAGTATTTTGTATAATCAGTGTATGATTCTGTGCTTCTTTTCCATCCACAGAATGTTTTAAGTGCTCAATTTCTTTTTAAATTGTTACGTTCTAACTTGGGTATCTTTATAGTAGCTCTGAAGAGCTCAACTTCAAAATTTCCTGGGGTCCTTATACTTAGAAGGATTGCAAACCTGTAGTTTCTTTACAGTTGACATGATTCCTTGTCATTAGGAAGAGAAGAATTATTTGTATGAATAAATATGTAAAACGAAAAATACTGCATTGCCTGCTCAGTTTACTGTTTCAGCTTAGTAACTGGTTCTTATTGCTGCAGCATCTGTAAATTGTCTATTTTTCTTTTGGTTTAATAATTTTTAGTACTCTTCCTGCAAAATATTTGGAGAAGATTGCTGACCAGATGCGCACTAACAACATTAACGCCCTTATGGTTATTGGTGGATTTGAGGTACACTGAAATGTCTAATTATGTCTGAGTAGAATTCCTAACAAAAGGAATAGACCATTTTAATTTTTACCCAATCTTCATGTAAAGTGCATTTGGTTATAATGATATTTTATACACAACACAAATAGTGTTTAGGATCAGAAGTACCGTCAATCACTGATTCTATGGAAAGTTGGCATTCAAGACAGTGACTAGTAACTACAGAACAGGATGTGCTAAATGGGTAAATAAGGTGAGATAGCATGATAGTATTTTTGTATTTAAAAAAAAAAAAAAAATTACTTCAGCAGTGCAAGTTCCAGTCTATACTGTCTCGATACTTAGAACATACTTCCAGAACTTCTTGACCTTTAGTAGTAATTGCACTGTGGTCCCTTATTTAAGCCACTCTTTCTCACATAGTGCATTTCAAAATCTGTAATTGATCTAGAGAAGTATTTTATTTTTCTTCTGTATTTCATATTCATTTCATTTTGCAAAAATAATAAATTTTTGAAATCTTGATTCAGGAGAGTATTTTGCCAACTCTTCCCAGAGAAGAACATGCTTATTGCTTCTTAATAAGGAATGAATCATCCACTTTTTCCAACCTGTTAGGCATGGCCTTAGCAGGCGTATTAAGGTTTTAAATCAGGACTAACAGTACCTGAAGATTGGGGAACTAGTTTGTGGTGTGTTTGTGTTGTACAAAGCACTTTGTTATGTCTAAATTGTATATTCACTTGAAAATGAATGTTCTATTTATTGTTTGTTTTCAAATGTATACTTGTTTTTAATGCTTGCTTTTTTTTTGTGTGTGTGTTAGATTTTAGTGGTTCCTTAATGCTTTGACTTGCTGAAGTGTGCTGTGGTAGAAATGGCTCCCCCTGTGGCCCTTTCCATTTTATCATTCCAACTTTGCCCTTATTTTATTCATCCTAATTTTTCACCCAATGCCTGTGCCCAACAGGCGTACCTCGGACTTCTGGAATTGTCAGCTGCCCGAGAGAAATATGATGAATTCTGTGTTCCAATGGTTATGGTTCCTGCAACTGTATCCAACAATGTACCGGGTTCAGATTTCAGCATTGGTGCAGATACTGCTCTGAACACTATAACTGATGTAAGTCTATTCTGGTATGTGTGCTTACTAACAAAGCAGTTTTGGTTAAAACTGACTAAATTGGCTAGAACTGGATATTTTTATAGACCAGAACTTTGGAAATGTAATTTGGAAAACAGTACAGTTACTTGGATAGCCACATTCATGATACCTATTTAAAAAAGAGAGGGTTTAGGATCCCAAATGCTTCCATTAGGTTTCCTCTGAAACTACAATGACCTGTAAATTTGTAAACTACAAAATAAGATGGCATATATCGATTGCATATGGAAGAAAGAAACATAAAGCTAAGACTTGATGATAATTTGATGCGCTGTAGAGGAAAAAAATCCCTATCATATCTAAAGTATCAGTATACCCAGCTGTAAAAAACACTGAGTAAATGTTGCTCTGTTCAGAAAGAGATCCTTATTTATGCATGTAACATCTTTATTTCTCTAATACAGAATGTAAGATCCATATTTCTCTAATAATAGGAATTACATGTTTCTGCTAATAAACAGATTTTACAAAAAAAGAGTTGAGACATATTATGAAGTATTTCTAAAAAAATCAAATCCAGTAACATGATGTAAATTAAAAATGGATTGATTAATGCTACACGCAGTTGGATAGAAAGAGCATTGTCAAACACCACACAAATTATATTGTCAGGCATGCGCATTTACTGTTCATCTGAATTGCTTAAGAAGCATTAATCCATCATGCCTCTACTAAGAAGAGCAATTCTGTTTCTATATATTCTGGCATAATTTTGTCTGTGAAACAATAACAGTAACATTATACTTTCTTCCTTTTTTTTTTTTCCTTTTCAGCATAATCTATGGACACATGTGTATTGCAGATACAGTTGCAGAGTGTCCATAGCTTAAAACACAGCAAAGACCTAATAAAGCATTTGTCTTTAAAATTGAATTTACATTTTCACTTATAAAGAAGAAACAGAATTATTTCATAACTTGCTTACTGAGTTACAATGAATTGCCATATTATATCACAAGTTCCACTTTCTGATTTTTGTCTCCAGCCATGCTAGAGTTGGAATGTAGAATTTTTTCACTGATCAGACATGTTGAACTACATTTTAAAATGTGAAAAACAGCAAGCATGGTACTCATGTCAACTGGGAAAAGAATTTCAAGTTGATTTTCAAAATGAAATGTCAGTTTTTCTATCACTGAGATGTATTTGAAGATTTTAATAATTATTTTCAGAAATTTGAAGGCTTCTTCAAATACTGTCAACTTCAAGAGCACTAACATAATTTTCAGATGTTTTGTTTTTGTGTTTTACCATACCAACACAAATATTTTCACTTTCAGCAAAATAAACCTTTCAGTTAGGAAATTTCAGGTTCCTTAACTATTGCCTTGAACAAGATGATAAGCTAACTAGAATTTATCTTAAACACATTCTTTATAGACAACTTAGGTTATAAATGTTAATGTTTTCAGTTCTGGTAAATAAAAATATCTCTCCAAAATGATTGGTCATAAATTAAGGTGAGTAAAATGATTGTGCATAACACCTACTTTTCTTTTCTTTTCTTCTTAAGCTTTGTTCACCTAACTGGCTTCTTTTTATCGGTTATTTCATGTAGAGTGGGATATATCATAGTCAGTCAGTCTCTTTCTTGTTGTTGTGTTTTGCTTTATACTTAGGTTTCTAGATATCATCCACCTTCTTTAGATAATAAAATGTCAGTATCTCCATATTTTCAATGCAGTAGTTGAAAATTTTTAAACTGATATTTTTTTACTAATAGCTTTCATCCTCGTTTTGCGTTTTATTTTGCCTAGATTCTTATATGAAATAAATATGGAATGTAATGGCTTTGCAAGATTTAGCTTAAATCCAATGGAAATTTAAGTTTTGTTCTTTTTTGGGGGAAGGAGCAGACTTGTGTTTGGGAAACATTTCTGCTTGGTATCTTCAGTTTTCTGCTCTGATCATGTGAACATGATTCACTAAAACTGATAATGAAAAAAGTATCCTTTCATTCCTGTGTTGTATGTTCAGATCAGGTTCAGTAGTGATGATGCCCCATATTAAATGTGACTGATAGACTCAATACAAGTCATATGCAATTGACTGTGGTAAACTAAAGTAGCAAATGGACATGAATGTCTGTTATATCTAGTTCATAGCATTTTCATTCCTATTGCCACTATTAGGTCAATAAATGCATCATAGTTTTCAGTGCTCTCAGATTAGTACCTCTTATGAACACCAAAATGTCGTCACACGTAGTTTTGCTGTAGTACTGTTCTTACTTCTATGTTCTTGACAACTTTTAGTAAGGTAAGTACATTTCTATTGGATAATGAGGCTTTGTTAGTGTTTGGCATTACTAGACCCTGTCAGTGTTAAGTTGTTTGAAACTTGTCAAGGCATGTAAATGGTACCTTGAGACATTTGCAGATAAAATGTGTTGAGATGCTGCGTTTAAAAAGAAAAACAATAAAACCCAGGCCAACAGATACCTAACACCTGAACGAGAGATTAGGCAAGAGTGTGCTTTTCCCTAAGTCATAGAGAGTGGATGGTACATTTCTCAATAATTAGAATTTAGATTCTGTAACAGATTCTATGACCCTCTTGAAATGCTCCAATTTTTCCTTTTTTTATTAATACAGGCTTGTAATCAGTTGAGTAGTAAATTTGGTTTGTCTTTTGAAGAGTGTTTCAAATTTATCTTATGCTGTATTTTTCACTTCAGTTTTCAGAATATTGGTGAGAACAATTGTCAATGAAAACTCCCCAATATAAATTACCTGGGGAAAGCTGGATGTTTCTGTACCTGAAAAGGGTATGCTTAAGGCTTGTATATCTAGGTACACAAAAGAAATAGTTTAGGATTGCAGGATAAGAACACGAACATTGACTTTTCTGTGAAAAGAAGCATGAGTAAAATAACTACCATAATAAAAATACCTATATTCTCAACTTCATGCTGCTAATCCAGTGAAATGAATAGAATATTATTTCAGATAGCAGACCTCTGGAATGTGACAACAAAGAAATGTTAGTTTTTTTCCTGAATAAACATGAAAGATAGAAATGTCTTTTTAAATTAAAGTTGGATTACTTAATATTGATCAAAAAGAGGCATTAGCAATACATTTTGCAGGTGGAACTAAAAAGCAGAAGCCTAGTCTGTAATTAAGCAGAATGAATAAAAAGTTAGACTCTTTCAGCTACAGAACATGAGAAGAGAATGGAAAGGATGAATTAATCTCAAAACAAAGCCTACTGATGGGCTAGAGGAAACTGATGGAAAGAGGAATAAACCAGAACAAGGTATGGAAGAATATTCATTTGATTTAGGAGACATAGAAGTAAGTGGGGAAATGAAAAGAAAACGTATCAGCTAGAGATGGAGAAAAATAGAACCTCAAAAAGGAGGGTGCTGAAACTCTCTGTGTTTCTTTGAGAATCTGCCTTTTCCTTTCATTAAAGGGAAGAGGGTACAGGTTGATCAATTGGTATTGTGGGACAAAGAGTATCAATCAGCCACAAGAAAACCCTTTCTCACTGAGGAGCAAATAAAGCTACAGTTAGATTGCCTTAATGCAGCTTCCATGCAGTTTCCTGAAAAAACAGATTCCTGTACCCTCCCAGTGCTGGTGCTAACTAGCATATGCAGCTCCATATTAGTCTGAACTGGGAAGCTGAAAATTAGCCTGGCCAAGCTAGCTAACCAATTAAATCATCATCTAGCTCAGTCCTGGCAACAGCTGGATGTGAAGCTAGGGCAGTAAATCCATCCCTTTCAGTGACCATTTGCATTTAGATCAACATGAAGTCAACAAACCACAGTCTTTGCTTGACTGCATGTGTTTTTATAAAGCATCCTTGGTTATGGCAATACCCTTTTTAATAACACAAATATAATAAAAGGGTGTGAAATGATTAAACCATTTTATTGACATAGTACAGTATCCCTATATGATCTTACTGTAGTACTTAATTTAAAAAAATTAATTGTAAAGCAATTATTAAAACCACCAATCACTTGTTTACCCTTTATAATTAAAGTGACCCTTTATTGAAAACATTTTCATATTTTGCTGCAGTGATGTGAAGATGTTGCATATAATCATCTAATGCTCATGCTTGGTGAAGGTACAGTCTCTGGATATGTTTGCTGAAATCACTTGCATCAAATAAAATGACTATTTAATGCAAGTAAAACATATCTTAACTGCGTCTTAACATATCATAAATGCAGACTAACCAGTTGTGTTAGTTATTGCTCTAAATCTCCCTTCAACTTGGTTTCCCAAAAGTCTCAATATAAAACTTTTAAGAGAAGCTCATGTTTTGCAGATCTCCAGGAAGGCATGTGGTTTTACCAATCCACTTTGGCTCGGTGTACGTCTTTATTTTTCAGTAGAAATAAAAATTCAAAGCAGCCTGACTGAGCTGAGTTGGGCTAGGCAATTACTGAAATTTTCTCAGCGAAGTCTCATCCACTCAAAAAAAAAAAAAAAAAAAAAAGAAAATCCATTTGTTGCTCTCCTGGCTATACTGCTTCTCAGAGCTACAGGTCTGAAAGCACAGTCTTTTAGACTGTATTTCAGACTTAAACTGGAAATGCATCCTAGCACTGAGCTTAATTGAAAGTTGCACTTACGAAATACATGAGTAGAGATAGACTTTAGAAAGTAAGTTTGCTCTTCGTACACCTACCACCATATGTCCTGTCCTCTCACTGAACAGGATCTGCTTTATCTAAGGAAAAAAATCTAGAGAACAGAACTCTTGCAGGTGAATTTTTTTCCCATTGCTTTCTCCTAAGTTATTACTTAAATCATTCACTGTATAGATATTTGTGGAGATAGTTTGATGGCTATCTGCTAATTTGATTGGCAATAGTTTGCTTCTCTGATTTGAGCAATTGGAACGAGACTTCTGTGAACATCAATCCTTTCTGGGAGAAAGAGATGAAGAAAAACGTAGCATGCTATGTAATCAGGCTTTCTTTTGGAGAGTCATTACCTAGGCAGTTTGAAAAATTGCCACACATCATAAGAGATGCTGATTAGTTTAGATTAGGAAGAATTGGAATAATATAACTAAAAAAATGTTTACCAACTTAAAATAGTTGCACAGTCTTGACCTTTAAGTATTATTTTGACATCTATTAGGAACACCTAATCCTTTTCAAATGGTGATTTATTTTGTAGTGTTTGGAATCTTCCCAAGGACCTACAGCTGCTTTTCAAAGAATCTTTGAACTATACTTGCAAACCTTATTAACTTGTCCATGTGCACATATTCCTGGATTTTTCTGGGCCTATGTCCAGTCTATGTACGTAGAGGCAGATGTGTGATGTTGATACAGTCTTGGAAGGCATAGGCAAAACTCTTTCTGTTTTTTCTTGGTGGATATAGAAGTGTGTCTTGACTTTATAGGATAACATAGTTTTCAAAAAAGCAGCTTTCTTTAAGCATTTTCTTCAAGTTGTAGGTGTTTTACTAGTTAACTTTCTAAACTCCTTAACATGTATCAAACTTTGATCTTTAAGTGGTTTCTTGTGGAATGGTTTCCGGTCTACCTTTATGCTGTCTTTTTCTGCCCAACTGCTTCAGACCTCTACGCTGTGCAAACTTCGTGTTCACTCTGTATTAACGTGCACTAATCTTCTGCATTTCTTCAAAGAGCATTGTGCCAATGCAACCCCAGTGCAATGTTGTGGTATGTACAGGATATCCCCTCCCAAAAAATGTCACCAATTTTATTTACTTGGGCCAATGGACAGCCAAATTTACCATCACATGCAAGGAGTCATTAGCAGAGCAATCCAAAGACAAGGAATGTATCACTCATACTTGTACCACTGCTTCAGGCCTATGAAAGTTGTCTGCAGCTACATGAGGCACGTTCCCGCTTTGAGGAGTTTTGCGTACCTATCTGTGTGTTGCCTGCTACTATTAGCAACAATGTGCCAGGCACAGACTTTAGCATTGGTGCTGACACTGCCTTGAATGCTATTGTGGAGGTAAGACTGCATATCTTTTGAAAGTTAAGATGATGAAATGCGTAAGATGAGGATACCTAAAGACCTTGAAATGTCTGGTTTTCTAAAATAATTCATTTACTGTGTTTTTTTGCTATTTTACAGTTAAGAAGTTTTCCAAGACTGATTAAAGATTAACCTAATCAAAATTAATTATATTAGATGTTTTACTCCTGGGGACTCTGTTTTATTATCCAAGACTGCTGCATTAGTGCTTAGGACATTTGCTTTTACTGAAAATAAAATATTTTGCCTGCTTTGATTTTGGTTTTTTTTATCTTATCCAGCTCCTCAGCATTACTTAGGTGAAAGAAGAAAGCACATGTTTTATGAATAAATGCCACGTTTATTTCATGGGCTAATGACTGAGCTCAGTGCAGTAGAGCATTTTAAGGATATGGTTAACACTAAACACATGAATAATCCAACAGTCTGCGTTAGGCTTAACATATATTAAGTGCATATAAATGCATGCATAGTATAAGCAAGTAGGTCTGTCCTAGCTAAGCAGTGTGAGGCCAGAACTTGCTATGAATGAGTTTTCCATTTCAGTCAGAACAATCAGTTTTCTAGTTTTAGTCTGCCATAGCTTTTTACCTTGGGTACAACTGCTATATGAACTCTTTAAGTTCTTTACTATCCTACTGAATCTGCTGTAGCTGCAGCAAAGGGAACTGGGTTGAGGTCTAATGTAAACAACTGAGTAAACCTCTGAACAGCTCTGGGTTTTATCAAACCCCTCATTATCAATCCGTATAACTAATTATAAAGTAATTGGCCAAGAATATCAGAATAGAGATACAGGAGTTTGAGAAATGCAGGTTTGTTTTCCTGCTCTGATACAGTGTTATTTGTTTATATAAAGTGAAAAAGCTCCAGTAGATAACTGAAAGAGCTGTGTCAGAATATATTATGGCTTTGTCTTTGGGAGATGCAATACAGCATCCCTGAGGCCAGGAGAACCTAAGATAGAGTCTGGGTAAATTGTAGCAATACGTTCATAGGCAGGACAACGGGTACTTTTACCACTCCATTAGCTTCTTCCCCCTTACCTACTTCTATAAATGTCAGGCTAAGTCTGCTAATTATGACCGATATCACTTCTAACAGTTATGCACCTGTAAAAGTGAAAACATGAAAACCTAATGGGAAAAAAATGATCGTATATATTGCTGCTTCCTCTTATTTCATTGTTTTTATTATTAATTTTAATTGCAATTTGTACAGCTTTCAGTAATGTTCGCAGTAAAAAAAAAAGTAAAAATGGTTGTATCTATGGAATGTCATTATGGTTAGAATGTTTGGTTTATGCTAAAAATAGAGCACTGTTGATTTGGTAATGTTTTGAATATCAGATTTTTCATGAAGCTGGCTCAGTTCATAGGAAAGCTCAACTAGCAATGGAATTCCAAAGAGTACTCCAAAAAGAGTCACCATGCCTCCATGCTTAAAACTTCTGAAACCTGCATCAGACATTTGAGCTTTGGCCTTTCTAGCCTATGGAGTAGTATATGAATGATTCTTTAAATTATTCTGTGCCCATTTTGTATTTGGGTATTTCTGTCACAGTCATCCTGCAAGAGCAAGAATGGTAGAAAGCTTCTACTATGTCTCTTGTATAGTCAAGAATAGAAGTCCTTCTAAATAAATCTAAAGTGAGTAATCCCACAAGAAACTACTGATCTACATCCTTGCTTAGAACTTAGAGCTTCTCAAAAGGCAGAAAATTTCATTCTACTACCAGCAGCTGGAAAATTTTTTTAGAAAGCTTGGCATTTACAGGTCTTTTAAGCCTCTCAAAACGAAGGAAATCTTTGCATGTGTATTTATTTCTTCAGTATCCAGAGCCAAGAATTATTATATCATAAGCTAAACACATAGTATCCATCCAGTTCCAGGCAGCTTTTTTAAAATGAGTTAAAATTGGTTCAGTGCTGCATCTGCCACTATTAAAAGTAATGGGGATTTTTACAAATTTGTTACTGTTTGCCAGATGCCAGTATTGTGCAAAAATTCTTGTGAAACCACTTCTGGAAGGGGAAAGTAAAGTGCTTGAGGACATTATAAAAAGGTAGAAGACAGTGTCACTTTGAAAAACTGATGAAATTCAAAGTAGGCTTTTGTGATGTAGTTTGTTATGGGGATACTTCCTGCTTAGGAGAACAGAATGTCAATCCATATTTTGAATGAACTCATGTGAATTCCGCACTTGCGTGTATATGTGTGTGTGTGTATACACATAACATGTACATATACAAATATATAAATAAAATATATGTATAAATTAAATTACACGTATCTTTTGGTAGCTGGTCCTAAATAAATGCATACACTCTTTTTAGTTCTTCGGTGCATTAAACTATGATGTTAGAAGTTCTAGTCTTTTATTATTTGAAGTTTTCTCATGTATCAGTTCATTATTTGTTCTGTGGTCTGTTAGGTATATTTTTAAAGACCATATTGCTCACAATCTTAATTTCAGCTTGAAGGGTTATTTTCAGTTAGCTGAATGAAGGTTCTGGTTATAAATATCTGTGAAACAGAAATACCTCAAATATTACAGCATCTGCAGTTACCCATTCAGAAAATCAGTAAGGCATAGGGATTTTTTAATGTTATCATAAATCAGGTTTCAAGATGATGAACTTCCCAGGTACTTTTATTCCTCATTTTTACTAAACAGAACTGATGTAGGGACAGTACATCAGTTTTGCAAAATTCTTGTCGCCAAGTCTGGTATGACCTGTTTGTTTATTTTTAAGACAAAGAAGGAATTATCTTTTTCTTTCTACTATTTGCTTTCTGAAAGGAAGGTAATATTATCAGATGGTTTTAAAATAACTTCGAAGGGTAGGAAAACTCATTCTAGGAAGTGAGAGTTTGTTGAATACCTTTTTGAGTATTATTAAAACCTGGAGATGCATAGTAACCTGTTCCTAAGTTTCTACATTTTCCCAGGTTTCTATGTTTTCCGAAGTTTCCTAGGTCCTACCACACTGGAGATTTTCTCTGTAAAATAACAGAGAAAGAAAGAACTTAGAAAGACTTAGAAAATACTAAGTCTTTTAGGCAGCTCTAATAAATACTGGTATTAACTGGTGGCATGTAAGCAACAGATCTCTTTGTAGAGAACATTTCTTATGCTAGTCAGAGTAAGATGCATGTGGAGATTGCAGTCTTGTTATAGTAAGTATGTACCTATTAATAAAAAACCAAAAACATTTAACAAAAAAAAAGCTCCAGTAGTGCTTGAAAAAAATTATATTTATGTGAATATCATTACTGGAAAGTAAACAATAGGGCAATAACATGCTCAGGACTTAAGCTTAAGAAACTGTAACTGTTAAGTATGGTTGGGAATGCAGTGAATTTTAAAATCAATACTAAGAAGAAATAAACTCTTCAGTAATTAATAGACTTAAAGCAAAGAAGAGAAACTTAACTCATACCAGAGCTGATTAAAAAGCTCCTTTATATCTATTTGCATCTCTGTTAGAAAACTATCACAACTTTTAATTCCATGCACAAACCAAAATTCTTGGTTTAGTATTTACGGGAAGCAAATAAGAATTGATAGTAGCAAAACATTTTATTTTGACTGTCGTGTTCAATGTATGATTTGTAAGCATTACTTTATTTGGTAGTTACTGTAGTTAAATGGGTTATGCTATGCTGGAATGAATTTTTAAGGATATATGTATTTTTTTATAAATTTTTTAAGCTCTTCTACCAATAAGTGACAGAAAATTGCATGATACATAAACTCATAGAAATTCAGACTTTTTTATTTAAACTTACAATATCTTGTCTTTGATTAGACGTGTGATCGCATCAAACAGTCCGCCAGTGGTACCAAGCGTCGTGTATTCATCATTGAGACCATGGGTGGTTATTGTGGTTATCTGGCTAATATGGGGGCCCTTGCGGCAGGAGCTGATGCTGCTTATATCTTTGAAGAACAGTTTGATATTCGAGAGCTCCAGGTATACAGCATTAGAAACGTTTTTCTAATTTTTAAGTAGACCCTAAAATTGTTGTACATATATATCATATTGTGTATATTTGAAGTAGGCTTCTGTTACAAAAATACCCAAATGTTTGGATTGTGTGTAAAAGCTAGGTTTGTCAGTAGCATTTTCACATAATGCTGGTTCTTATGCCATATTATATAAAGGAACTTGTACCAGTTATTCTTGGCATCAGATTCAGTTAACTGACAAAATTATTGTATTAGTCATTAAACACTACTAGGTGAATTGTCTCATTTTTATTCTTCTGATTGAAATTCAAATTACATGTAAATGAACAGACCTGGGCGATTTTAAAAAGGGCGGGGGGGAGAAGAAATACCACTTCCATTGTGTTAGATGGCTATTCATGTCAGGAGTTGAACAGTATGCAAGGTGTATTAGATACTGACTTTGATACCACAACTATTCAGAGCATGTTTGGAGGTGTTACTAAAATAAAGATCTCGGGCTTTAAGGATTACAGATTGGGGTGTAAGCTGATATGGAACTTGTCTACTATGAGGTTTTTACACTTCTGAGGTAGTTGGTGCTAGCTGTGGTCATGGACAAATACAAAGCTAAACAGATAGAAATTTCCCGAAAGGAAGAGAGATATGAAATGAATTGCAATTCCTCCCCACTCATTTCTCAGTGGTGTGTACTCTTCATGTCATATATGGGAGTACCAGCACAGCAGTACATCACTGTATCCATAACAAGACTTTTGAAAGGACCGGGAGTAAGGGCAAGATGCAATCTTTTGTGGCAATTTTTGTTATTTTTATGTATATTGACATTATCCAACTTGGTGCTATACCAAGTAGAGCATACAAAAAACCAACTCTGTGTTGCTATTAAAATCAATTATTTGTGTTGTGGAGGAAGAAGTTAGTAGATTAATAGTCATACACAGTATATTATCCTGGATCTCCAAAAACCTGCTGATTATTTGAGTTTGCACAGAGTATTTGATGTGGAATACTTTACAGAAGTTCTCAGGGGTGTAGGCTCATTAAAGTTGTTTTAGAGTTCTGTATGGCTTGTTAAAAATACTTTTGTTGTTTCTAGGCTAATGTGGAACACTTGACTGAAAAAATGAAAACCAGTATCCAGCGTGGTCTAGTGCTGAGGTAAGCAAAAGTAGTTTTAATAGATGGCATCAGTGATGCTGAGCACTTCCAGCCAAGTAGGTTGTTTGGCCACTTGCAAAGACTCTCTAAGTCTATATTCATTGATTATTCCTTTAGCATGAGATTTTTACTAAAGCTGTAGCTCCAGAAGGCAAGTCTGGGAGCTGTCTGGATGCTCAAGTCCAAAACTTCCCTCTTTCTATGTAAATATACTTGATCTACGATCTAATATTTTATCCTGTTTTCAGCCTGTTTTCTCATCAGCTTTGTCTTTTATTGTAGATTCTTTCTTACTAAAGATAGTGTGAAAACAAGTATACACGTGTACACATATAGTATGGCCTTTACTATAAAAATCCTACTTAGAATTTAGAAGTGTCATGGTTTAGCCCCAGCCAGCAACTAAGCACCAG